GGGAAAGAATCTTTCTGTACTACCAACCTTATCATTAGTGTTACGGGTGAACTTTGGGTAAAAACCATATTTACATCTAATTAATTATCCATCTATAATAGTAGCTCATATATACATATAAAAGTCCAATTATAAGAAGAAAAAAATATAAACTTCAAATTAATAAATTTGGTATCATAAACAAACAAAAAAATAGTGTGCATTTGGATTCATTTATTTATTTATTTTTATAATTTTGTAAATTATTTTTAGAAAATAAAAAATATTTTAAAATGATATCATGCATACACACTAAATTTAGTATTAATATCATAATAATTAGTTGAAAAGGTTATTATAAATTATACTACCCTGATAAATATAATACGTTAAATAAGTTATTAAATCTTTATTGAACTCTAAATTTTATGTTTATAGTTAGCATTATTAAAAAATATCAATTGTTCATGAAAAAGTTGTATGTATATGATGTCTAGAAAAAATATACCAAATTGAGTAATGCTTAAAAAATTTAGAACTTTCAAACCTTTAATTGAGATAAATTACGCAATTTTTATTTTAAAAAACTCTGGCTTTTTTCTCTCATTGATTCTCCCTAAGATTATAGCTTCACATGGAAGCATATCTCTGATTATGTAGATTTTTTTCTTTTCAATATGATCTGGCTTTGCAGATTTTTTTTATTTTTTATTTTATTTTTTTTATCTTAGATCAGGTTACACAAAGTAATAAAAAAAAAATCCGTTAAACATGTGATTTGAGATTTAGTTTCAAAATTTAAGTGTAAAGAAAAAAAAAATAATCATTAGAATAAGCTTCCTCCTTCATCCTTGATTATGCTTCGTAAGATAAATTTATCACCAACTTAAGAGGGTGTTTTTGTTTTACTCATCCTCTGTTTTTCTTTTATAAACATTTTTTTTACTGAAGATATGAAAGAATTCAACATTATCTTTTAGTATCTATTTGTTTGTTGTAATTTCAACAATCTCTTCCCAACAACATCCTCTCTTTACCCACTAAATAATGAAACCAACAAAGAAACCCACTCATCAGCCAAAGGCACATGCGATTGCACCTTAATTACGAAGAAAAAACGGTGCCAAAATTTTCAAGTGCCTAGCTATGGTCAATAATAGTACAGCGCAAATGCACTCTCCTAACGAAATTAACTTTATTATAAAGCAAACAGAAATGCAGATATGATTCGAATTTCTAACCCCTCTTATGCAACGCATTTGGAATCAAATGTGGTAAAGATGACCAAACTCACACAGTGGATTACTGTTTCACTTAGTGGGAATTGATACATTTCCTCATCAAATGCCCAAAATATCCCAGTTTTTAAGGGCCAATTAAGGGCACAGGATCACCCCATATGCCTCCGTAGTATTAGGAGCACCATGGCATACCCTATATATGGACCCAACTCCATAGATGAAAAAAAAATTAAAAATGATCTTAACAAAAATTATATTAGATGTTTTATACCCAATAATATTATTAATAACATAATTGTAAAAAAAAAATAACACCCTATGGACCCAACACCAGAAACAAGATTAGTGACTTCATCAATAACCAAATTCCAAAACAAAAACCCTAGGAGTGGACCCAACACACAGTAATAATTTAAATAAGGGTTACCGAAAACAAAACGCACCCATAATGTGAGGGGTGGAAGACACAACACAACAAACACCCTATGACCTGTCCTTCTCTCTCTCCCTAATCTTTATCTTTCTCTTTGTTATTTAAATATTCTGGTGAATATCACTATTAATTAATAAATAATAAAGTGATCTACATCCACTTGCCTTAAAAGGAAAGAGCCTACAAACATTTCCAAGATCACATGCACTCGGATTATTGTATAAAATATGGCTACTTAGATTACAAGCTATTAAATAACATTATCTTTAAAAAGTAGGATTAAGATTCTTCCAAACCACAACTCTAACAAGGAAACCAGCCTCACATTTTTCGCGTAAAGGATAGAAAAGCATATTTGTAGGTTGACTGAACACTTGATTAAGGAGAATACTTAATAGGATAATGAGGTTTCTTTTGTAATCATTGCCCACATCATCCCTCAAGTACACTTTCCATTAACATACTTAGATCACCAAAACCTTACACCCCCTCCCTAATATAATATAATATAATATTGTTTATGCTTCTTTGATTAACTTTTTTCATGGAAGAATGTAGTATTATAGAATATAACAACATTACCATTTACCAATTAACAACACTTTCTGCCTCTATCACTCGGACACAAGATATGAAGAAAACAATAATTACTTATATTCCATATCTGACCGGAGAAAGAGAAAAAGTGCACAATGTTTAACCATCATCATCGTCTTCTCAACCAAAAAGGACTCCAAAGTAAAATAATACACTTGCCCAAGCTAGAGTTTTTCATGGAACAAATCCAATCCCAAAGACCAAAAGTGAGAGAGAGTAAGAAGAAGAAAAGCCAAGCCAACTAGCTAGTTATACCAAAAAAAAGAGAAAAAGAACAAACAAACAAAGAACAGAACAAGAAGAACTGAGGCAGCACTAATTATTAATTAACACTAATTACCCATTTTCCTACTTACACAATATCATCAAAATCAAATCTCTGCCATTTTAAGAAGGTGATCATCTTCATCATCATCTCATTAATTAACAAAAACTAAACAATTAAATCAAGATAGAAAAAGACTAAAGTAATTAACCGGTACCACCTCTTAATTACTCTATCTAAACATATCATTATTATTCTCCTTTTTTTTTTTAAGAAGAAGAAGAAGACCCATTAGTTCCTCCGCCGTTAGTTCCACTATCATTCTCGTACTGATTTCCATCCTGGGAACCGAGGTTGTCGTTTCCGTTACCGTTAATTTCAGGGTGTTCATGATCACGATGGTGGTCATGAACATGAACAGGTCTAACAGTAACACTGACATTATCAACGGGAAGACCGTTGGTAATAACGAGAGCGCTACCGTTAACGTTGTTGTTGTTGTCTTTTTTACCGAGAGTGTTCTTGTTGTTGTGCATCCAAACCTTGAGAACTCCTCTATCAACGCCAACTTCATTGCAAAACTCCATAACCATTTCATCATCGTGCTTCTGCATCTTCCACCCAACTTTATCGGCGAACTCGTGCATCTTCTCCTTCTGCTCCTGCGTGAACTTCGTGCGGAAGCGCTTACGCGAGTGGTGCGGCGGCGCGGGGGCGGCGGTGTTCTCCGGCGCCACGGAGAGTCCGCCGGAGAGGGCGAGGAGCATGTGGGGCGCGGAGGGGTAGGACGAGATCGGCGGAGGGGAGGCGGAGTTGGGGCTCCGATGCGGTGGCGGAGGGTGGTGGCGGTGGTGGGGCTGGTACTCGAGCACGTGGTGCGTGGCCGGCGAAATGGGGGGGTCGTCGGGCTCGCGGCGGTGGAAGTTGCGGTGGCAGCCGCAGGCGGCGCACTTGATGGAGGTGGGGTCGTCGGCGGTGGCGGCCGGCGACGGCATGAACTCGCCGCAGCCGTCGAGGGCGTGGCCGCCGAGGCTGGCCACGTGGTTCTTAAGGCATTCCTTGTACACCACCGCCACGGGGTGGTGCTGCGGCGGAGGGTGGTGGCGCTTCAGAACCCCGTTTGAGAAAGACACCGGCTTTGGGTTCGGGTTCGCGTGCGCCGCGCTTTGGTGGATCCGGGTCGGCGTCTCGGGTTCCGGTTCCGGCGATTTCGAATTCGGCGGCGGCGGCGGTGGCGCTATTATCTCCATGCTCCTGTCACAATATTATTAGTGGCGAAAAACCGTTGCTTTTTGCCACCACTTCATCCAACTGAAGCTGAAACTTGATAAGTGGATAATGGTTAGGCGCTATGTGAAGCTAAATTTTGAAAGGGGAAAAATTGAGAAGGGAAAAGAAGATGAAGAAAAGATCCAAGAGAAGAGAAGAGAAGAAGATGGTGATGATGTTTTGAGTGAGGACTGTTGATAATGAAAAACTGGGTTATGTGGTTGTCCCTTCTTAACCACTTGTTTTTTTAACCCTGGTTCTAATCTATGGTTAACTTATTGACCCTACTTCAGGGTTAGATGTGAGTAATAAATATACCCTCTCTTCTCCTACGCTACTATTTATTACCCTCTACTTATTATTATTATTCGGTAATAATCTTATTATATCTTCTCTATTAATTCAACAATTAATAACATTTTCTTCGGTCCAAAGTTACGTTACAAATATATTCTTTACAAAAAATTATTTCAATATTAATGATATTTTTTTTTATAGATTTTTCGATATAAAAATACTTATCAATAATGTTAATTAGTTTCATTTTTTAATAAAATAATGAAGAATGGCAAGTCAAGGTGGCATGGTAGGACAGGTTCCGTAGTTTAATGATTATTGTGCTTGTTTTAGGGAAGCCACTGCAAACGTTGTAAATGTAAAAATATAGTACTATATTTAATAATATTTAATATTTCTTTACTTTTCAGTTTTCACCTTTTAATAACTGAACTTCACTTTTGGTTGATGGAATTTTATGCATTAAAATGTAAGTAAACCCACATCTTATCTTGCATCTCTTTTTTTTCGATCTTCATTGAAGAAAAAAAACAAAAGAGTAGTGGCATGCTGTGTAATTTCAATCGAAACCAAAAATTTAAAAGAGGTCTTTGTCGGCATACCCTGCAATTTGAAACACAAGGTTATACTAATAGAATTTCGAACCATAAATGAAACCAATTAAATAAAAATAATCATATTGATATTTGCTTATTTAATTAAGTCAATAGTAAGTAGTAGTAACGTGTTTGAAAATTCTAGCCATTAATAGGACGTGTTAATGAAACCAAATAAATTAAATATATTTGAATTGATTACATTTTTGCTTCTTTTGTTATCGTCATGAATTTTAGTTTATTCATTTATTTGGAATTTGATTTTTCTACGAGATTAATTATATAATTATAATCTATCATTTATTCGCATTTAATATTTTTATAGGCTTTAGCATTCAATATTTAATGAACATGCAGACGTGTCAGCACAATATTTAATGAACAATATTTATGGACAATATTTTTATTAAATAATTAAATAATACTCTCTCATGATTTATATATATATATATATATATATATATATATAAATAATTTTACACATTAAAAATTTATTAAATAT